GCTTTCTTTTGATTTAAAAGTATAATCCTCTGATATATTCCATACACTCTTATTTTACATGGATCATCTATTTCGTTGGCTTTAAATAAATTGAGCAGACATATTATCTGGTTACATAATATGAACTCTTTGTGTTTACTTTGTTATCTCTGCGAACGAGATAAATGCTTTTTTTTCATTTTTTTTCTTTAAGTTGAACAGATGGTCTTATACCTACATGCAAGAGAAAACAGTTAGTTTTCGGACAACAAATACGTCGTTTAAGATATAATTCATCGCATTTTCAATTGGGTAGATAGTGTCGTTTTGACTTGAAATATACAATTTAGTTAGTGATACCGCTTTAGTTAGTTTAAATATATACCGCTTTAGTAAATATTCAATATAGACTAGTTGATACCACAATAGAGACTTATAGATTCAGTATAGATGTTCGAGTGTTGCTACAAACAACTTCTATCCTAGTTTTTACTCAATTTTCCTTCCGATATTCCTCTTGTTTTTAAAGGAAGTTCATCATAGGAGCAACAAGAGCCGAAAATCTTCATTTTAAGGTGAGTTGTTGTATTTCCAATTTTCATTTACAGTCCATTATTTGAATAATAACTGAATTATTCATTTTGCCGAAACACTTTGTTTATATTTCAGATAGTTTTTAACGTTACTTTTTATATTCAGAAATGTGTAGTAAATTATGATAGGTTGAAGTAGCTAAGAAATTCTTGGGTACTTGAATTGGATTAAGATAATGTTCCTTGTTACATCACGAAAATTTTAAATTGGCAGTTTCAATATTATTATATATATTTCAGAAGAAAAGGGGAATGCATGAGATTACGTATTTTTCTCAACTTGTTATCTGGCACGTTGATACCATTTATTTTGATTATATAGCACCAACATTACCAATTCTAAACCGCCGAGAGGATGACTTATGTTAATAACAATCTTGTATTCTTTGTAAACAAAAATAACATTTGTCCATATAAGCTCACGGTAATAATTTGAAATTTAAAATCTATTCTTATGTTTATAAAGCTATTTCCTCTGCGGTTTTAGCCAGAACTGCTATTGTTAGGACGACATTTGCATAATAATGACTACTTTTGTACATTCTTTTCTTGGCGCCAACTGCTAAAACTGAATAGATAATCTGGAAATCTTACGAAAAAATTATGCAAGGAATTTTGTCAATAGACTTCGAAATATATGCTTTGGGTTTTTCAATGTATTAAAGGGTACTTTAATATTTTAATCTTAAATATATATATATATATATATATATATATATATATATATATATATATATATATATATATATATATATATATATATATATATATATATATATATATATATATATATATATATATATATTCAGTGTTTAATTGTGATTGCAGTCTAGGACAGGAAAATCAGTTACCTACCTCTTTAGTATTTTCCAAACTTTCGAAATGTTTATTTTCTTCTTCAGGGCTAAAATAGTACAAAAATTAACAGTTTATATAGCAAGCACTATATAATTTAATAGCACTATAATAATTTTAGTTTTTTGAATTTTGAAAATAAGTACAAGTGTTCCCTAATGCATTGTGTTGGAATATTACTGCATTCTACGTGTTGGGTAGTCGAAGGAAGCGACGACAATGACTGTATTTCTCAATTTCGCTTGTCAAGTGGAGTGTTCCCAGATGTTTTTGAGGGCGTTTCTTAAAATGCATAACGTTGGCCGAAGTTTTTTGACTAACGAAAAGAGAATGAATTTGTTTTGTGTATTTAGAATGGATTGTTCGGTGAATAGGATATCAGAATATGAGCGATTAATCAGAAGAACCTATGAGATATATATATATATATATATATATATATATATATATATATATATATATATATATATATATATATATATATATATATATATATATATATATATATATATAGGTATATATATTGCTTAGATTATCTGTATCAGATTTTTTGTTAATACAATTTCCTGTCTTTTTGATATGAACCATTTCTAAAAAAAGGCGTTTGTTGTAGTTATTTGCGTGATCTAAAATTTCTGTGGTATTGTAATTCATATTATGACCAGTGGCTTGTACGTATTGGGTTAATGCAGAGGAATTCGTCTTGTTAGTATTTCGGCAATCACTTATCATTTCTCATAAAAGTTGATTAATTGCTAAAAACATTAAAAATAAACTATCTTAAACAGATGGGTAATATCTTTATTGAATTTAATATCTTATAAACACACAACAACTAAACAAAATGCAAATACAGCAGAAATGGATATACATAAGTAAGATATTACCTACCTATGTTTCCGACTAAGCAACTTTAAGACTTAAAATGTATGTGATACATGAAAAGTACAGCTACTGTATTTTATATCAACTACGAATTTCAAAATGTGAATCGAAATATTATTCATCATCATTTTAGCTCTGGTACTTTCAAATATCCACTAGTTATAGCGAAATTTAAAAAAAAAACGATTTGTCTTCGTACCTTCTTCATAGAACTAAAAACATATGACAAACAGCCTGGGCAGTTTCTATGGCCATAGAATTAAAAACAAAATATCTCAAAAAATTGTAAAATCAAAACAGAAAATTGGATGAAAACTACAAGTCGATCCTTATAAATTTATATAATTTATCCGAATTTATGAATTAATTTATAGATTATAAAATTAGAGACTAACTTTATCTTAGTATTCCCTTTTCTTGTTTAATTGTAAATTTCAACACATTGTTAAGTTATTATGAAGTTCACAATTAGTATTTAACTCTCTGGTTACGTTTATGTAAAATTATATAAAATAAAATTATATAAAACTATATTCAATGGGTTTGAAGCTTTATTAACATTTACAGCAATACGAGTAACTTTTTAAAGGAGCATCATTTTAATTTGAGGAATTTTGTATTACATTGTTTTTAAATCAACAAGCATTACTCGTGTAAAACTTTTGTGAACGCAGACGGTTACTATTATTTTATTCGTTCATTTTCATGTTACAATTGATTGTAGAATGCTTCTTTTATTTATAATTTGATTTTTTTTATTTATGTAATGCTCAACATTTCCCTATTACAATATAAGTACGATAGTTAGAGAAGCCACTAATTTTGATTCGATAAAATACACTAGATTCTGGAAATAATACTTTATTTAAGAAGATACTGTTTGAAAGACCAATCAACTGTACTATTTTTATATGTAAGTATTATATACGTATTATTATTATTATATGTAAGTATTATATGTATTCCTCAAAATTGCACGATTTCACGGACATCGTATGTTGCACAATAGCTCATATCGTTTGAAGCGATCTTTGTGGCTGCAACCTTAAATAGCTTCATCAGCACTTTAAGTTGCATAGACGGATTACTCGGTGCAATTTCACAGATATCTACTTCATTATATTTTCGGCATCAAAGCTTTTTATGTGAAATTTCAGTTGAGTCCTTTATGCTTATGATAACTTAATACACTACTTTTGTGTCTGTGTATTAAAATTTCGCATTTGTTTGTTGCTCTTTCAATTTTCCTTCTGTTAAATCTTGAAAATATGCATTTTTCTAGGGTTATTACGGTATGACCATGCTAAAGTATAGTAAGAAATGGTAATCATAAAAAATTTAACATTGTTGAACACCATATGTACATCTTAGGTGAAAAACATAATATTGAACTTTGCTCATGTGATAAATATATAAGAGATCGTGAGTCATCAAGAAGTCAACCATTTTCAAATCTATGTAATTCTTTACATATCCTAGACGACTAAAGGCAGGAGTGAAGGTCCGCCAATGCAGGAATCTGGGTTTTATCCCCTCTGATTTCATAAAATATGACTCATGATGAGTAATGAAATAGTTTACAAAAAACAAAATTCTAAATGAATATAATCTTGTATCTGCGCTGGATGATTTCAAGAATACGTCTAATAACAATTTCATAGACCATAGAACTCAACTGTAATTCATAGAAGGACGTTTATACGATTCATAGTCATAGTCTGTTCAGAATCTTGAAGATTTTGAACAGATTTACATAGGTAGAAAAAGGAAATATTTTATAATAATGTATTAGGCAATAAGGATCTAGGTTAACGCAACTGTTGCGAATATCATGGACTCACCATACTCGCATGAGTGTGATGAACTTCATTTTAGCGAGTAAGCAGTTTTTTATGTATAAATACGTCAACATTTTCTTAATAAAATCAAGTTCTACATCAGTAGTCAACTCATTCACCCTGACAAGGAGTAGGCAGATTGAGGCCTTGTCAGCACCAAAACTCTTTCATACCGATTTCCAGGAATTGGGAGAATTGGGCCTTAAATTGGTTGTCCATCAGTCGGAAACTTAAACCCCTGATAAGGAGTAGGCAGATTGAGGCCTGGTCAGTGGGACATTTCCTTGTGGGGAAATAGCACTCCACATTTCTAAACATAGTCAATTCAGTCCATATAAAAATTTATATATTTTAGTATGTAATAGACCAAATTATCTTTCTAACATTCGATAGATTTTCAAGTGGATTACCAGGACAATGCAAAGAGGATCCTCCGTATTATGTTGCTGGGTGGTTGCAGGATGTGTTTCTGTGGTACTGACACTGAAGCACAGCGCTCATAAAAGTTTTCTTTAATTTAGTGTTTCGAAGTTTTTTCAAATGCATCTCGATTTGGTAATAGTACCTACCTCAGTGGGTTGACGGTGAAAGATCTCCTAAATATTTCAAGACGAAATTTAGGACAGTTCAAATTGCCACATTTTTTACGTTTATATCATGCAAGCTTCCCCTAAAGAGCACTTTTTCAAGAAAATAAGCCGACTGTCTACTTTCAAACCACTGTGCACGTGAAGACATTATCGATATTCAGCCATCAAAGCTGCTGAATTCTAGTCGAGATTCTGTCATACTTCCTCAAGCGATGCACAAATCTACATTTCGAGCCCACTGAAGGAGCCTGACCTAAGTCGCCTGCGTAGCTTAGTCGTAAAAACACCCGTCTATGGCGCGGTAGGCTTCGGGTTCGAGCCTCGGTAAAGGCATGGGTGTTTGTGTGTCTATATGACTTAAATAGTTTCATGATGATAATTGTTGGGTAATGAACATTGATTACAAGCCCATTGGACGTTCGGAACTGGCGTTAAACAGTAGGTCCACTGAATTAAAAAAAAGCCTGAACTAGGCTTTAAGGATAGATAACAGTTAAACCGTAGTTTGAATTGGCAATTCGTTTTGTTGGCGTAGTTTCCCCCAGTTTTTTTCGAGGCTTGTTGTTCAATATGCTTATGTTGATATATAGCACTTTCCAGGTTACAAACGTCTTTCGGACCAATTGTATCACATATTACATATCACTTACAGGCAATATTAACCTACCAGTATAAGAATAAAATTAACATACCCTATTTGACCCATGAATACGACAGAAGAAACAAAAAAATAATTCACTTAAAGAGAGAACGAGTAAGTTGATTGGCCGAAGGAATTACGCATACATCCTGAAAAGACTTCACGATAGAACACCTTCTTACTTAAAAAGTGAGAAAACCTTCAACAGTTTCAAGAAAACATCACAGACATGGTTACAATCGTTACCAAGGGATGAAATTAGAAGTATAATGGATACAAGCAAGTTCTTTCCTGCCAATGTAATTAAATAGAGCCAATGTAATTAAATAGAGGAAAAATAATTAACATTAACAAAAAATTATTGAACAGAATTACTTTTATTTTTCATGTATGAACAGCTCTCATAAAAGTATGTTGTACTTCTGAGAGTTCAACTTTTGTCTAAGATCTTTTGTTTTGCCCTATTATAAGAATGTAAAAAATTTTTTTTTTGTTATAATGGATTATTATAAGTATTGTTTCTGATTATTATAAATTGTTATTTCAGTTGGGTAAATAAAGATTATTATTATTATTATTCACAAAAGTACAAGTCTTTATCAAACATCAGCCCACATTTCTTGGAGTATCACGGTTCTATTATCACCAATTAACATATATGACATTCGAATCACCCATCATCATTAATAATTGAAGTTTTAATTTTTAAACTTCAAAATTTTCTGAAATATTGAATCATCCGAGATAACATCCTTGAAGGATTTAATAATGTACATATAACTTCCAATTCAAAAACATCTATTCTTATATACACACCACTCTGAAATAAACTAATTATAAATATGGATTTTCTATTTATCTATTTTGTTGGATCATTTATCATATTGAAAAATCCTTGAAAAATTTGTTTTATATCCGAGTCAAATCGATTAATTGTTATGCATGTTGTACCAGAGACACAATAAATGCAAGAGCTAGACAAAAAACCGGAAACAACTTGCTAAGTTCAAGGATGATAGATTAATTTATTGATAGAGAGGAATGTTTCCGGTATATCTCGTTTCCATGGTAATGTAATAAAAAAAATATTTTATGTTTTATTGTAGCTTTGAGTTCGTATTATTCGAAGCGGATATGGGAAATATCTCCAATTAAGTAATTTGCATCCATTAGAATTCAATTTGCTTTGAACTTTGATAGCTTGTAGTGACTAAAGATGTTCAGTTTAGTTACTTATTTACCGATGCCACAGAACACTAAATATTCTCTTATCTGTTACTTTATAAAATTTGAAATTATGTGTTCCATCAGTGATTTATGAATTTTATGTTAGTAGGAAAAAGAATTTTTTTTAGGTAAAGTATTATTATAAACTATTTTTCGAATATTAAATAAATAAAAATGAAAAAATTTAAAAGATCACGTTTACGTGATTACAAGAATAAAGTTTGACAATTCAAATATTTTGGCATAATATTAATAACATAATACGAGGTGAATCTTGCTAACTTACAAATGAATATATCTAAAATATAGAATGCTAATACTTTCAATAAAACTTGGACATCTAGTGGAGTCGTTAACTTCTTTTTGAAAAAACTACCTCTAGATTTGAAATTTCTGGAAACCTGCTAATAGAAATCATCATTTCTGTCCTATATCTCAGCAAATCACAAACATATTTTACATTTCTCGACATATCAGATGGGTGAACCTAAATTTCAGTATTGAATATTACCTAATGATTATTTGTGCAATCATATTTATTTGCTTGGTCAGAATAAAAGTGTGTTAACCAGGAAAAAAGTGTCTCATTTTACTTTTATTGTTGAAATGGATTTATATTCAGTAAAGGCTATCAATATTCAAACTATATTCATCAATTTTAAATTGACAAACCGAAATGCTCTCTTTTTCATCTTCGTTGATCAATATTTCTTCGATAGAGGGAGCTAACGTGAGAGTTCACTAAAAGTTTCCAGTATTTTTGATAGAACCTTGGTGTGTTTTGAAAAACAATGAAACTTGATTGTTGGATGCATGCCAATGGTAACTCCCTAATAGTATGAAACAGCCCTGTATGTTATTTCCAATAAGTTCGATATATTTAGAAACGTACTGAATATTCACTCTCGAAAGTGATGGGTGGTTTCTCGTTGACAACAGTTATGTAGATAGCTCCCTGAGAGTTTTATTTGAAATATTTCCAGATTTTGATTAAAATTCTCAGTATTGTATGTATGTAAAGTGAAGACCTACCAACGAGAAGTGGAGCTGGACATAATTTCATTTTTCAGAAAATGAATTACGAGTTTTGTTGAAGGATACCTGTCAAAATCAAGAGGCTTGGTTCAAATATGATGGTGCTGTACATATGTAGTTGCTAAGGAGATTTCTTCGTTTGTGCAAACCATTGGAATAACGTCGTCAAGTATAATATTGTTCTCCTTAATTCGCTTATTTGTGTAACGAAAATTAGAACTCTTCATTTCAATGCAGAGAAATCATAAGAGAAGTAATATCAAAAGATAAAAAATGTTATGATAATAATAAAATGTTTGCATAAAAATATTTCAACTATACAAATGGTAGTACTTCCACTCCAGCGAACAATTATTTCACTATATTTACATTTGCTGATTATTGCATTAATTGTAGTTTGATTCGAACTGTTTAAGAATAATTAAGCATTAAATATATAATGAATAAAACATATAACAGAACAAAAACTAAATACCATTATCAAAAGTGAACTTTCTCAACTTCCTTCTGCAAATCCAGAACAGAAAAATTTTTATAAATTTATAAAATGTATTTATTTATGTAGCAAGCTCTGAGCCATATACGCGCTGTTCTATGAGTAGGTAAGGTACATGAGGGTATTTAGGCCTAGCTAAGGGGAATTAGTTGTAAAATATTAAAAGAACAACTTAATCAACTACATTTATTGGTAATCAGTTTACTAATCAGTACTGTTTATTTATGGTACTACAAAATAGAACAAAAAAATAGCAACTTCTACATACAACATACATAAAATTGAACTTTTTTCAAAACACTCTCAATAGGCCTTATTATAATTAGGTAGGGTAACAAGGCCTATATTTTATATTATATAAGTAATCAACTTAAACATTAAAATTTGGTTCTTGAGGTCAATAATCCTTATACATAATAGCACAACAATATATAAGTATTCTAATAATAAAATACATGGCCTCTTTTAACATCAGCAGGACATATGAAGTTATCACAATCATTCACTGACAAACCGACGCACTCCTCAGGATACCACTTAGAACATTGAGAGCACTCCCTCATGTGATCCATTTGGTCTTCTTAACAGACATGAGAGTACCAACTCGCTTGATTGCCTGCAGTGTTCTTGGTTCTAGTAGATTCGTGAGAAGACGATTTCGCTTTAGTTGCTTTTGAAGTAAATATAATTTTTGAATACACTGACTCCCTTTTCTTTTTATCTTTCTTATTTTTTTTCTGTACTGCACTTTTTTTTCCTGCATTATTTTTTTTAACTTCATTGAATTTATCAAAAAGATCTTTGGAAACTTTGGAAAATTGAAAGCCTTGTGTCGGACAGTAGGTGTTGCTTCTTGAATTTTAGCAGGTGGGGGCATGACATCATGAAACCCAGATTTTATTTGAATAAGTGACACATTGTCTTCAGAATCACTTGAAGAAGTCATATTATTGCCATAAATTTGGCAATAATAACTGCGTGTTACGGGTTGTTTGACTTGGGATCTACTGATTTGGTCTTCCTTCTGATAACAATTTGGCTGTCGCTCTAAAACATGTAGAAGGTTCAGGAGTCAAACAGGAGTTTGGCCGAAAATAATCAGCAGGTGGCACATTCTCTTTTCCTATATCAGGTGCTAATATCTTGGGAGAATTTGACAGCAACCTACTATCAGCTTCTGGAGTCTTTTGTCTAGCATAATCCACATGTGACATATTCTCTTCTACGAGTTCAGGAGCTTAACGCACCTGTCAAAATTGATGGTGATTTGCGTTCCGGAGTTCCAATACCAGAATTATCAAGAGGTTCTATGTTTCTTGTTCACCATCAGCAAAAAGAATAAACAAGAAGCATAAAAAACTAGAAATGTAATAAGGTCTACTGCAAATTGTTACTGTATAGTAACAATCATCAAAATAGATGGATCTCTAATGATATTTTAACAAAAATGAGAGAAAGAGATAATAAGTATAAATGTGCAGCTTTAGATTATTCGCTTGAGTCATGGCAGGAATATAAAAGTTTGAGAAATGAGGTTGTAATAATGATAAGAGAATCAAAAAAAAGATATTTCATAGATATCTTGGATACAAATAAAAAAAACTCGCAACAACTATGGAAAAATCTGAAATAATTATTACCAAATCAAACTAATAATACACCATATATCGTGGTTAATAACGAAATAGTACGAGACGATAAAGATATTGCTTGGAGTTTCAATCTTTACTTTGTAGAGAGTGTACACCAAATAATTAATTCTATAATTCCGATACATGACTACGAATATGTCTTACAATCTATACCGAAAATGGTGAAAATGTGTAATTTTGAGAAGATAAATATGAAGTATTTGAAAAATATCGTTAGAAGTTTGAAAAATACAGGTAGTTGCGAAGATGAAATAACAGTCAAGATACTGAAGGATGCCTTTGA